ATTTGCGATGTGACCATGCGTTACGCAGGGCCCTCCACCGAATATTCACACGCTATTGTGACTGTATGTACGGTGACGGTTCTGTCCTCGCCCAATATTGTGGGACTGTGGCGCCGTCGCACGGGCAACGAATGGACGGTGAGCCTAAGATGTCTTTTTGTCCTCGGATGTGGCTCATGATATTCGTCGCACTCGGTATTGCTCAAATATGCTTCTGTGTACTTTTACTTTGCCTTATCGTCTTTAACGCTCTCATCATCCCATCCCTTTCGAGCGTTCATCGTACGAACTTTGATCTCCATCAACTAAGCCAGTTGATCGGTTGAGTCGAGCACGATGCCTTTTACTGGTTCGGCTCAAACCACTCTCCGCGGTCGCGTTACGTTCTCCTGCGGCGAGTCGCAACTTTTCGGCACCATACAGAGCGAAGGGCGAATTTCCGTTTACCCGACACCGTCCCCGTACTCATGTAGTCACGGCTCGAAACTCGTGGATGTTCACAATTTTTGGCATGACGTTCGCCCGCGACCACCGATATGGCAAAGAATCGCGATAAGAACACCACCGAACAATCCCGTACATGAATATATCGACTACGTGTTCTATTAGACCTTGGTTGAAGCGCTCAACTTCCTCTGCAACGTGTACATCTCACAGGAGATCATGCAGTCCAGTCTCATAGGATGGCTACCCAGTGTGCTGCACACGGTCACGAGCGAAGGTGTTGTCACACGGTCAGACAGACTCTCAAGAGGCTCGGACGATAGACCGTTGTAAGTCTTAAGTTGAGCCGGGGCGAGAATCGTATCGTACATGAGCATATCGTAGACTACTTATATACCTACCAAGCATTGACGTGTCGTTTTCTGAGTTTTATGGTTGGGCATACGTGGTCCTATGGACCGGGCGAAAAGTACTTGTGGGAGGAACGTGCGTGGACCGAGCCAGCACGTTGAGCACCATCAGGTAGAGAAGCGAGGATGTTTGATGGTGAACGATCGGCCGTAGTTTACGCTTTCGAGTATGCTGACGGTCAGGTCGATCATCTAGGCATATGTGCCCATTCGGGCCTTTCAGGGTCTGGGCGACTGACCACATCAATACTGTGAAATAACGTTATCAGCATCCTAAACTCCCGGGGTGAGCGATGCGTACCCTATGGAGCTGAAGGACCACAACGGTCTTCTCTGAGAGTTGAAGGAGTGCAAATTGGCACGACACCGAGTTCACGGTGACGATTTCAAGTTGTTCCTCCTGCTCTGCAGACCAAAGCTTCGCCGGAAACTCCAGCCAGCGATTGAAAGAATCGTGCGTCTCCGGCGCTAGGGACTTGAACCTCCGAACAGCAAAGGAGAAGGAGTCTTCTAACGCGAAGATATACTCAATAGTTCCCGGAACAAGAGTCTCTTTCGGATCGCCGCTCGGGTGGAAGGCTATCTGGCTATTGCCTCGATGAGTCCTGGAGCGAGCGTATATTGTGCCATGCGCGCGAAGACGTGCTCGCTGATATATGAACCTCCGGCCATCCGGAACAAGGTGCTGGAGATCCAGCGGTACCGATGTCTGTACTTTCGGTGCCAGTTCTTCCTCGCAGGCGAACCGTTCTTCGAACAAGCCAGGATGATCGTCAGGCTGGGTGCCGTAGATTCGTCGGAATAAATCTTCGCACTGACGAAGAGATTCAGGAGACTCAGGCCGACGTAACCACCGCCTGAAATTGCCAGCTGCGACACAGGCGCGGTGTACGGTGCCTTCAAGGAAACCTGGACGGGATAAAAATGAGTCCTGTTCTCAATGAGGTGTCAAATGATGTGACCTAGCCGATGGTTGTGTGGAGTGTTCTGAAGCCATCCTATTAGCCGTTCAAACGGAAAGCACCACCACGAGTGTACAGGTCCAAACAAAAGAAGGAAATCATAGATATGAAAGGCCATATGATGATTAGATCGGGGGACAAGGTCCGGATAGAGCGTCGGTAAGCGGGACACATAGTCGGCGATGGACTTGCGATATGCAGTTGCCATAGCTTCACTGGTAACACGTCGACATGCAAGAGATAGGGCACAGACAAGCGACATGGTGTGGTCAAGAAATGGCGCAAGCTTATGAGGGTCGGTAGGTGCAGCTTCACCCCACATGATGATGAGGGTGAGCGGAAGGTATATGCGGAACAGCGTACGCCATTCGTCAGCTTTTACGCTGCCAGCGGCAGCCGACCCGAAGTTAGCAGGTACGGATTGGATCCAGGACGGCCGTGTTGTCGTTTTGATGACTTTGCGAAGCTTCTTCAATACTTCCGGGTCTGATGTTCGGATCAACGGAGTCGACGACCTCCAGGGGTGCTGCCGACGCTGAAGAACATGAGTCCGTAGATTCAGGTCAATCAGACAAGAGACACACCCATCCCACCAGGGCCTTCGCTAGCTCGTGCCTTTGAGGCTTAAGATTCTGGGGTCGCCGATGGCTAGGTGGGGGGATGGGGAGGCGAAGATCATCCACGGCAACAAAAGTTAGTGCTCGTAGCGACCGTTTCCGCAGCCGGTCCTCCAGCGCCTGCAATGTCAGGGGGTGGCCCATGTCACCGTCCTTGTCCTCCTGCTCGTCATCGTCATCGGTCTCATCGATAGCCGCGATTTCCGAAATAAGGTCGCGATGTATTCGCTCGATGTCCTTGACATTAGCACTTGTCCATGAGGCATTCCGTGGTGGAAAGGGGGGATTTGGGACCGGAAGCAAGGATTCGTCGTCAACTTCGGGAATTTGGAACTCGTAGTGGAAGGCAGGACGACCTTTGACCTTCGCGAAAGCCTCACTTTCTGTTAGGCGCAGTACTGAAACGTAGTGAAAGTGAGCTAGACCCTCGAGAAGACAATGCATGCTGTCAACAACGAGTTGTTGGGTCGGATCCCAGTACGGTAGCCGCCAAAGTTCGGACCAGCGCACACCCGTTTCAAGAAAAAGCCGCGTCCGCTGTTCCTCGGACGTAGCATCTCTCCATTTCTCCGCCGCAACGCGCATCTCGGCAACGTTCCGACAACGCCACTGCTGGTAATCGACCCTGCCCAGTTTGGTCAATCGCCATCGGCGGTCTGTTGGGTCCACAGGATGCCAACAATTGCATACACTGCAAAACTTCTTCGATATTGACGGCGCTAAGGACGCTATTTTCCGAGCAGCTGGTAGATCGCACACAGCGTTAGCAAGGGCTACTCGGGCGAGACGGCCACTGTTGTAACATGCAGTGCGGGACAGAAAGAAACCGTCATGCCAGCCAGTGACGAAATCGTCTATAATGGGTCGGATGTAATGATTCAGAGCTGTTAGGGATGGCTCTTGAGGACCTGGGACCAGAGCAGCAAGATAGAGATTTTCAGGGGCGTATCGGACCCCAATTGGGAGATTGAGGCATGCTAAGGCGATGACGCCTGTAGAGTTCTTGTTTCCATGGAGATTAGACCATTCGACGTTGAAGAAATCAACAAAAAGGGAAAAGAACAGACGGCTTTCAGACCCCGGATGACCATCGGGACCCATAGGACGAACAGAGAAAGGTTTCCCATCGGGGCCTTTGAATTCCTTGATGAAACGTGCATCAAAAGGCCCGTGAATTGCACCTGGCGTGGAGGAACTACGGCCTGTACTCCGGGTACAGGCATCGATGGCTTCCTCCAGCTCACGATTTGAAAAGATGCCAGCGAGATAGTCGCAGAATAGATGGTATTGGAACGGTTTGATAGGATTTCCACCCGCATTCAGCAACTGTGCACGGCAAGCGGTTCCGGGAACGGGCTGATTCGTGCAATACTGAGGATATATGCCTGATCTGTCAGGCGGATGGGTTTGGTGACATTCTGTGCACGTGGCGTAGGTGAGAAACTGTCCATCGAGTTTGAAGAGGTTGAGAACTGCGCTCAGAGTCCTCGGTAATTCACGACTGGGTCCTGACGCAAATGGATTATGAAAACCAGTGGGAAGGAGGGCCATCGCGATAGACAGTAGGCCAAGAATAAAATCGCCGTCACGTTCGCTGATGCGCATGATGATGCGGCAAAATACCACCAAGACCAAAAGAACCTGAGCAAAGGTAGAGAGCTTATCGACAGGATGATCGAAATGGTGTCCTGCAAGGAAATGAGGCCAAGGAGTATACAACCAAGTCAGAACACACCAGAGTCATACACGCAAGACGCAGGTCCCAGCTTAATCTGGTCCTTCCATCTTTCAAGTTCGCTGTAAAGGACGGCAAGCTGACCCTCAACTCGCCGTTTCCCATCGATAACAGCGTCAATCCTCCGGGTGATGCCAGCAACGTTCTCCTTGATGCGATCTAGACGGTCTCTCAACTCGAGAAAAGAGTTGAGTGATCTGTCGACATCTAAGACCCGTTTGCGCTCCATGTACAATGAAATGTCCATCTCGATGTGGTTCAAACAAACAATTGCACGGCGCGTTAGGTTGTCACTTCTCCGCTCAAAGCGTGTCGAATGCCCGGTGAACGTGGACGATGCGTCGGCGACGGTTCCGGTCGGTGTGGGGACAGCAGGGGAAATGGTTGACCCGGACTCAGCCATCGCAGCTCCCGCCGATGCGGGGGGACTAGGATCGGATGCTGGAATTGACACCCGAATGACATCGTTCAGTGAGTCCACAATATGGGCGGTGGAAGAGATCGCTGCATCAGGAAGCTTTGCCTGTCGTGACGCCCATAAGGGCCCGGGACGTGAATCAGAAATGATGCCGTCGTCCGCAACTGTGAGGCCGAAGACCTCCTGAGTTAGTGTGTCTGCTGCATTCACGTCGGAGGCGACGTCGGGAGATAGAGGAGTATCATGCAAGGCTTGGAGGCGCCCCGCCCGCTTGAGCGCCGTGTAGGAGCGAGCAGGCATTAGCGGAAGAGTAAGAACCAGATGGTATAAGTTCGGAACCTGTTAAATACGATGCAGCGCTCGCCTCAATGCAATTTACAAGGACGATACTCGATATGTCACCAATGTATCCATCGATGCTGTCTTGGGGATGTATTGGTCACATGCATACGCCACCGCTCGTCTTGTTCCAGAAAAGGATCGCGTTGTATTATTGCTGTTTGCAAAAGTATTGGCGCGCGCGCGTTTCTTGCGCCACCACACTCAACTTTTGTGCATCCGCGTCGTATCTGCAAGGTGTGGCTGAATACAGTGTGTTGGAAATGTTGTTTCGCGAGCTCGGGTTGCTCTCCCGCACCTGGAAACGCTCGTTTACCACCTAGCATACATGGACGTGTTCTCCGTCTGGTAATGTACTGGAAAGCATAAATGGTCGCGAACAAGGACGCTACAGATGCCGAGAACAGCAACAATCATATATGTACAGATGGCTTTCACTGATACTATACCCAAATGTTCAACCGTGGCAATTCGTATGTCACTGCTTGCCATTCGCACACCTCCCGCGATGAGTGCAGTCTGATGATCTCGACTATGAAGTTCGCAATGTGTTTGCTCCCCGCGACGATGATGGGCCATATCACCCACTCCGCAGTCTCGATGGCATACTTCATCACCTCAGGAATGTCGCCCTATTCTTGTCTTTAGCAACACCACCTGCTGACCACATTGCATGCTTACCCTCAACTTAGACCATAGGAAGTGTACGATGACTAGCAAGAGTGATAATCCGAGGCATACCTTTGCCAGCCAGATGAGGATGTTCGACAAGAGGGCAAACGACCAGGAGAGGGCACGCAATGTCGAACTGGAAATGATGTGTAACGCCGGTCTCAATAACCAGGCGTTGCCGCTTCTGAAAAGCCACCAGATCTGCCATAACAGCCGCCAAAGCGGTCCCAGCATGCTGACTCCAACAGCAACTTCGCGTTTGCGTGTCCACACCGCGACCGCCCCGACGCTGGTCGTTGAGGATGTAGCGCATGCAATATAGTTCATGGAGGCTGTACTGAGCGTCTGCCGACTAGCATGAGCATCGGTGTATTTCTTACCAACGAAGTCACTTTGCCTGACTTACTGCCACAATCTGGTTACAGCAATTCCCGTTCGTCAATACCTGCTCGAGCCCATGGCCAGTCTTCTGAAAGACATAGATGCTTCCGGCGTCACTGCCAGCCATCACAATCTCCTCGTCTTCCCCAAACAAAACATGTTTCGGGACCGTCGATACCTTGATTCCCGAGTGAAACATTGCGAGGAGAACCCCAGTTCGACTATCGTGTATGCAGAAGTTCACGCTGTCGTTGATCGCAACTTCGCCATTCTCGTTGACGGTGACACGGCCACTATTTCAATGTCTGGTGAGCGATCAGGCCACTTGCACGACTGCTCACATGAGCTTGTCTAGGCGCGGCCCGTGATCCCAAAGTCCTTCTCCGTTCAGGAATCCGTGTCTGGCAGGCATTAGCACGTCACCCAAGATAAGACGTCATTGCATACATTTGGCCGGAGTACGTCGAGAAGATGATGATGCTCTTTCCGCTCGTCGCAAACTCGATGGTGCGAGGCTCGATTTCAACTAATTTTTGGCTCCATTCCTTCCAAAGTCTGTTAGGACGGACGTCGTAGGATGCAAGAACGCCATTGGCGGTGCTGAGGACCAGTTGGATTTGACTAGGGCTGGACCGAACCGCCATCGAAAGGATCTCGCCGCCCTCGGGCACCCGGAACACATGGCACTCCTCGTAAACGGCCTTTCGTGACAGTCAGGACGTTAACCTGCCATGAGGTGGAGTAAACTTACGCGATTCTGTTGCCAGGCGAAGACGACACCATGCTTCGTTCCAATAAACAGCATATCGGGCTGGCCTTGTATGGACGCCCATTTCAGCGCCACTACGGGGCCATAAGCGCTGGGCGGGACCTCGTGGGGCATGCCTGCAATTCGTTTCCTGGTGATTAAATCGTTGATGTCGAGACCTGCCTCGCCTAACTTGGATTTCAGAGGATGCACTTGTAGGCCGGCCTGGAAACTTCTGACTTACCTCCTCGCGCCAGCAAAGAGCCGTCTGGGGAGAAAGCGAGGGCGTATGTCGGTATGTTCGGCGTCATGATGCGTCCGGCGCATTGGTATGGGCCCCGGGACCCTCGAGACCAAGTTCCTGAGACCAGCATGATGGACAGCAGGAAGGGTTGGGGCTCTCTGAGTCCAGCGTTGGGCCCTTCTCCTCTGTTTATGTGGTCCGTTGGTACGAGACGACGCTACCTTCAACTCTACTGGTCCGCGTGTGCCCCCCCCCCAATACAATTGCAAGCCGCCTTGTTGTACTTATTTTTGCTTATTGTTCCGCGGGCGGATCTCGGCGAAGGCGAATCGTGAGTACCGGAATCGCGGGGAACGCGTCGCGCTGACACCGCACTAACATCGATGCGCCCCTCCGTTGTTCCTTATTGTACCGGCTGTTGTATCTGAGGAGAGCTCGTCCTGCCAGCCGCAATCGCTGCGATATAGTGATATAGTTGCACACAGCACAAACAGCGGGCGTATCTTCGGGCGCTGTGCCGTAACTATCTCGCACGACACTGTTGATCTGCGGAACTGATTGTCACCCGTACATAATAATAATCCGCGCGTCGTTGTGAAGATGCGGAGCCAACTGTTACCCGCTACAGATTACCATCATAGGCACAACACATTGTGGCCGCTGGTCGAGCATGTTACAAGGCTCCCAGAATGGACTGGGCCGGAAGAGACTAAGTTGTTGGTCAGATAACGAACGCAGATATCCTCGAGGAGCAAGGCCTGACCTTCACGTTATCGTGGAATGCTGGGTCCTGCGGCTTACTGATGCCCTTCTTGATTTCTCGCGCCGTGTACGCGAGCCGCCTTGAGATCAAATCGTCAAGGGGCCACGCATCCTCGTACTTATTGACGAACTCCGGACGTAACTCTATGAGCTGCAGAACGTGAGTCATGGGAAGCGGAGCGTTCGGTGAAGCGCCTGGCTTACTTGGTGCTTGGCGCGCTCGACCGCTCCCGCGGGCTGCTTCGAGACGGTATGCGCGTGATGGAGCCATTGCGAGACGACCTTGTTGACATCGCGCTTGAAGTAATCTCAGGAGGCAGCATGGGTCGGGTTTGATTATCGCTTACCTGAATGGATTTGTAAGCCTTGTCCTTCAATCCCATCTTGGTACGGAGAGTGTAGCCGCCGCTTCGGGGACGACCGGCGCTCCCGATGGGCCTTGGTACGGGATCGTGTTCTTGGAACGATGTTTCGAATTCAACGCGACGAGGGACCGTCGGCGTCGATTCTCGGGACGGTGATGCACCGGATGAAGCAGAGCTATCTTCGCTATCAGCCAGCGTCGCAGTGCCATGTTTCAACCCAGGTGACACTGTGCGATTTCTGGAGGACCGCCTTGTGCTGGGTGCCCTAACGGGACCAGGGGTAGCCGCCCTAGCGGCAGGACTTGGCGCCCTGAAAGGACCGGAGGAGGGTGTTTCAATGGGGGTCGTCGATCGTACCGTGCTACGCTGTGTTGTACGAGGGTATGGGCGGGTAGCGATGCGAGCCTCATGAGCTCGAGCGCGACGATGCAGACGAGCGCCAATCGGGACAGTGTACGAGACAGGCTCGTTCGCCACGACTAATGACAGATCACGATGTAAGGTGAGCACGAGTTGACGATCCGGGAGTGGTAGAGGTAGAAAAAAAGCTGCCCGTCGAGCAGAGCCTGGCAGAGGGGAAGTCATGGTTAGCGAGGGGAACCGGACATGTATCAAACGTGAATATACATTGATGAGGAACAATATGGCAACACATCCCAATTGAGTCCAGCAATGAGTAGTCCTGAGCGCATACAGAGAAAAGTGACGGTTGTCAAAAGCCGTATCGAAAACAATCAGATAATTTGTGCTCACATCGCGATGCCACAGTTTCACGATGTCGGACGAGGACGGGGCATTCACCGCCCGTACACAACAATGCGTAGGTGTCTGATACGATGGCACCGGGAGATATCCGTTATAGTTCAGAGCAACGCGAAGAGTTAAGACAATTGATGCAATGCCAAGAGGAAGCACCGCGCTCAGGTTCTCGGGCTGGAGTGATAGCGTCGCCTCTTGCATGTGACTACGACTTCGCTCCCAACGTCCTCTATCTCTTTGTTCCCTCCATGCCCTACCCTACCTTTTGTCTACGTCGAGATGAGTCCGGTAGGGCGTAGGGCGGCTGTTATGGCAGGGTAATGCCGGTACGTTCTCTGAGTCTCCGAGTCTTGCTCGCACAACGAACGCTGACTCGGGCAGGTCGTTGTACTCTTGCAACGCTTTTGCACCGATGCTTCCAGCTTTCCTCTCCCTTGGTCTTTCCATTGCGGACTACGGAAGTACCCACAACTCTACTAGTGTTCCGTTTGTACCTCCAATACAACGATCAAATCCGGCAGCACCAACGTCGACCGTGGTGTGGATCTCCCCGGATGCGGCTAGATCACGTTTGTGCTGTCGTTTGTTTTCTCCCGCATGTTCAAACATCGATATCTGACCAGGAGGCTACGGCTTTCCTTTTTTCTCTGCCTTCCGCCTCAAGCGTCGTGGTCCGCTTGAAGAAGGCCGCAGGTAGGCTCCGCTTGGATGGTGAGCGACCCGACGGCGCTTCGTCACGCATTTGACCGGACGTGCCTCTATAGCGCTGCCTTCCAACTTCCGTTCTCGACTGCGACGCCGGTTGGGATCTGCAGATGCAAGCCTATTGAAGCTCGCCTACCCTACCAGCGGTCTCTATGTCATTGCGGGGTGATGTTCGTAGTGACGATGCACAGTTTGCACTCGTCGCAGACGGCAAGGCCAAAAAGCGGGGGGAGTCAATGACTACGGTCGTCGTGAAAATTGCGACGGTCGCGACGCCACTCTTCGCGCCCGTGCGACGTAGCGGAACGTCGAGCTCGCCGTCCGCCATGGGGTGGTACTATACTCTGGCTTGGGCATGTACGTTATCCAAGACAGCCGTCATCAGGATATTTTGGGGCCGCTACCATCTTCCGTTCCGTGCTCATCTTAACCCAGTGTCATGCCATGCTTGTGACGCCTTGCTCTTGGGCATAACGGAGGGCCGCGTGACCCTGCGGATGGTTCATAGTCGCTTGTTAACATACAGGCGACATGCATAGGAAAGACGGTGGATCTTGTACCCGAGGTATCGCGTCTCGCCACTATGACTGCGACTTGCTGGAGACGCGAGGAACTGTCGTACACTGTCGTGCCCGGCATCAAACTGTCTCTCGTCGACTCCTGCAGGACTGGCATCACTCCTCATTCAGAAATGCAGTGATAGTCCTTAGGCAGCGGAAAGTTCAGACAGCGGCGCTCGGCTCCTGCACTGAACGACCCGCAGGTCTGAAGTTAGTTTTACGAATCCGTCGCGACGCTATCTTTCGGATGGACACCTAAGTCCGCCCTGCTACTCTTCCATCGATCGAAATAAAGGAATCGTGCGCGATCCGTACAACTCCCCCCCTTACACCCACGCCGCGCAACGGCATTGTCACTGTTGTCGTCGAATTTTCCCACCCCGGCTTCGTGTACTTATGTCCGGCTGTCTTCGCGCGGCTCTGACCAAACACGATATCGTTGCTGCCGTGTTCGCATCCACGTTTTATTGTGGCTGGACGGTGACCGTTCTGTCATCGGCCGATGATGGGAATGTGACGTCGTGGCATAGGCAATGAATCGACGGTGAGCCTAACTTGCCTTTTTGTCTTAGAATATCGCCCTTGACACCCATCTCCGTCTATTGTGCTTTCCGTACCGCTCAAGTATGCCTCCGTGTATGCTCACTTTAGCTCATAGCGTTGAACGCCCTCACCATCTCACCATCTCAAGCGTTGATCGCAAGGATCATTTCCGTCAACTATGCCCGCTGAACGTTCGCATCGAGCTCGATCGTCCCTGCTGGTTGGTGGCGCGGCTCGAACCACCCGCCGCGGTCGCATCACCTCTTCTGACGGTGACGTTACGGCATCTTACAGAGCAAGGGGCAGCCCTCCGATTACG